TTATGGAATTGATGAAAACAGAGGTGCTTGAATTCTTGATTATTCTTCAGTTTGATTTCATAGCATGAGCAAGCTGGCATGATACCGACAGAATGTTGACCATTTTTTCGGATGACGACAACGCAACCGTGTGGTAAAAAGTTACCCTTTACTATCTGAACGGAATTTTCGTAGCAAACGCCAAGATTTCCTCTGAAACGTTCAAATAACTTCGAATGATATCATTTTTGAAGGGCTATTTTGAGTGATTTGTTGGAAAATGAAGGATTCTTTTATTCAACAATGATAAAATTTGTCAGAACACTGATATGTTATACGAATGCGAAATTACATAAATAGTGTCATAATAAAACCAATTTCCCCGGACCACAATGCTAACCCAACGTTACACATTCGGTCTAAAATGTTGTAAACTATGATCTCCTTGAAATTTTATGGTCTGATCCACAGTTTGAGTTGATCAACTGGGGTTGATACGACTTTTAGATGCTTCACTGGAACTTCACTTCAGTCGGCGCTGATGAAGATTGAAGCAAAGACTCAGATGAATTCTCAGTCTCATTTGGGTCAAATGCACTTGCAAATTGAGATGAAACTCGCGAACTTTCGCTTTCAGATGGCGAAGCTTCTTTTGAAATCGCCGCAGAGCCTTCTGGCTTCTTAACGCCAGTTAATAATGATNGAGTTTGAGTTGATAAAGTCTGGCTGACATTTTGAGACGGCGACGCTGTGTTACCTTGTTGAATTGATGTTGCTACTCTGGTAAATCTAGATGAATATCTTGCATTTTGCGTTTCGGTTGAGGGTTTTTCAGTGGAACTTTCGATCGGTGTTGTTGAAGATTGATGTGATGCCCGAGATGAACCTTGTGAAGTCTTAGTCTCAATTGGGTCAGTTGCACATGGAAGTTGAGATGAAACTGGCGACGATCCACTTGAAGGTCTTTCAGTTGGCGAAGGTCCATTCGATGTGGACGTCAAGTTTTCCGGTTTATCGATATGGGTTGAGGTTTTATTCTCAGTTGAAACCTGTGGCGTTACAAATTGACTAGCCGAAATCAAATTCTCATACGAGGTTTCGTTGGCTGGGTCAGCAGCGAGTGTCGGCTTAGATGTCAAGTTCGTGTAACTTGCTGTCGATGTGCTAGTCTGTTGCAGTCCCTTCGTATTGCATAAATCCGTCGCACAACAGCACATTTCTGCTTCCCAGTGGTGACTATTAAGCGTCATTTTGCATCCATTACCGTTTTCGATCAAATCCTGCAATAGAGCAAGCAGTTATACAATATACGCGTATGTGTGCATTAATCATTAGGAGATTAAGGTATTCTATTAGGAGAATTATATTAGGAGAATCATTAGGAGAATTCATGCAGGGTATTCTATTCGAGAAGGAGACCTCATTCAACAAAATGCGAATTATGGCTATTTGAAAAATCATACCTTGCAATCAACATTTTCATGCGCAAATATCGCCTCAAATTCGTTGAATTCACCTTCGCAGTATTTCATGTTGAATTTCGACATTTTTTGAACTGAAAATGTCTAACAATAAGACT